CAAGTACGGGTCCGAATCCCGTCCAAGATATAGTTTTTGTCCATAAGTCGCCAAGTTGCGAGACTTTCGGAACGCGTACTGCGGCGAAATAACAGCAGTTAACTAATCATAAAGTCAAACCTGTAGAAGCAATACACACATTCATAACGCTATACAATTCTTAATAGAAGTGAAGGAGGAGCGCATCCCAAAAAACGAATGAATCAACTTCAAAAGACTGTCCTTTACTCACATTGCCCTAACACGTTCACACCAATGAGTTGAAAAAAGATGACAAAGACACTAATAAACACTCAGAATTTGAACCTAAGAAATTGCCCAAAATTATCCTACTTTGACAAGGACGAGCTTTCCACTTAAGGTCTTCTGCGACACGCGATAATGTCCTCTTTAGTAGTTACCATCTTCCTCTTGCTACGGATAATAGTAACTAGTAAGAAGAACATCCTTCACATCTGTCGCGACCCCGGTCCCTATAGCTGAAGTGCATCGGCGGCGGGACCCAAGGTCACGCCAGAATGTGGGTATTGTAAGGGCCCACACTCCCTCTGGAGGGGTAAGTCGCACCTGAATGCCCTACTGCCTGCCACTGGGACACTTACGGGGCCCTAATCCCCTCCCGGCTCTGCTGAGGGCTAATAAGATATATGATGCAAACTTATGACCAAAATATTCCGCGTTAAAACGCGTGATTGAGAACTACACTATTGTAATTATACGATTTATGAGAATAAACATATTATAGAAACTGTTATACACTACATGGAAATTATATACGAAAAGGATGATGCAATAGAAATGAAATGAAAAGAGAAAAGGAGAAATGGTCAGCGACTGAAGTCAAAACATAACCAGAAAAGGTACCGCTGAGTAGGCGTGTCGAAGTTGTTAACTTCAGCTGATGGTGATGTTGTTCTTCGCATCGACTGAGACTGACACGGGACGGCTGAAGATCCGGGCACCGCTGATGGCAATAAGAACCGGTGCGGAAGTGGCGACGGCTGAAGATGACGAGCGCACCACGCGCGGAGACGGCAGCAGCGACGACTCACATACTGACACTGACTGATGATGAAATATTGCCAGCGTGGCTAACGTTCCCGCGCTTCCGGAAGCTTCTGCCATTTGAACGTACTGCGACGCGGTTCCGCATTGGAGCACGATATTTTCCAGCGGGGGGCTCACGGTCGCACGTAAGTCGCGACANCTAGGCGATAATTATCCGGCTGAGATGGATCATAGCCTTGGATCATCAACGCTGCACTTCCTTTAAGCGAGTTCGTCAAGTAGATGAACTTGGTGACTGGCGAAAAGGCGTCGTTATCGTGAACTGCCGTACGGAACCTACTCCAGAAGTCGTGGTACTGAGTGATATCTCCGTCGAAGGTGGGTAACTCAACACGTCGAAGTTGAATCGGCTGCGACAGCTGAGGAACGATCCCCTGTGATGGAGTTAGGGGGCTCGTCTGAGTAGGAGAATCCTGATTTCCTTGGGATGGTACTTCGCTGACGGAACGTGGTGAATCCGTTACAGCCAAGGAACTTATAGCTGTAGTCGAGTCCTTCTGAAGTTGTGACAGGAGAGAAGTCTGAGTGTTAAGGGCCGCGATGAGCTGAGCGTCAAGTTCCATGATGGTATCCTGAGCTTGATCAAGGAGTTGGTCTCCTTGCTGGTCGATCCAAAATTGATCGGCATCGCGGACGACTTCCTCCTGATCCTGAGTACGAACAAACAACAACAAGGCTTGATAACGCGATCTAAGAGTTCCCGAGGCCTTCTCGACTCCATTCCTTGCCATAGTGATGGCTTCCTTACGACGTCCGATGGCTCGAAGTTGGATATCCGGAGACGCATCCGTGTCGATCGGCGGCAAATAGCTAGAGTCCAACGCGGAAATCATCTTAGAAAGCATGCTGATGGTCGTAGTTATCTTCGCCTTGTGCGTTTGTAATACAGACATGATAGTTAGTTGAATAACAGTTAGTGGTGTTATAACCTATAAGGTAAACTACGGTGAAAGTGCCTTTAAAGAGTAAACCGTATTTACGATTGTAGCGTGAAATACGAAAAAGTCGTAAAATATTGAACGGCATGATAAGAATAAAGCTGACCATTAAAGAGGAAAAAGGGAAGACAAGGAAGAGAATGAATTAGAGAAGATACCGATGAAGAAGAAGGAAAATAAGAATAGGATACAAGGAAAAGGGAAAAGCCGGAGGAGGAATAGGGGGAAACGAACCAAAGGGCGAGCATTTTAGCACGACACGACCGAAAAACTAAAAGGGGCGCAAAAGGGTGTGAATGCAACATGCGGATAATAAGCAAGGGCTAGTGGTAGGAACGAGCACGGTAAGGTCAACCACGGTCTAGCGCTTACGACTACGCGGCTTGAGTCT